TTTCCAGACCCAAGGGATCCCTAGCAAATCGAATAACTGAAGTAGTTTTGCTTGAGGTAGAGGGATCCAATGATCTTTGAAGGTGACGAAGTTTTTCGCTGAACAAACCGCCCAAACATCGTCCATCATGTTGTTCATGTATTTGATTTCGAAAATAAATTCCGCGATCCAAAGAACTAATGAAAAAACCCCACACCAAATGTATGGAGACGCTGATGACCCAAAAGTTAAGTTGTGGTCCATTCGATGCTTGTCTTTGATTTTCAGAATCTGACGCATTTGATATTGGAAGTGAAGGGGAATGATTCGAAACGCTGATTCCACATCAGATTTAAACAAAATTACATCACCAAATTCCTCCTTCATCCTAATGAGGTAAGGAATAAAATTCTTCAAGGTATCATAAGTCGGCGTGATGTCTTTCTTATTGATCAGTTGATTTGGAGGCGGATGTCCAGCGCTTAGATTTGAGCAAACGCGCATTTTATTCGAGTCTTTCTTGGAAACCATCAGGAGAGGAATAACCTTCATTCCCTCTAACAAAAATACAAATTCGTCTGAATATCTTCCTTTATCGATTTCCTCTTGACATTGTTCTTCCAAAAGACGTTGATTAGCTTCACTTGATATATAATTAGGAATCTCTACAATCTCAGAATTCGGTAAAGAAGAACAAGGCCAAAAACCAATACGAAGACCTTTCAGGGCTGAATTCACGAAAGGTTTGTTCGGGTGCCGTGACAAAAGCGATTCCATTTTGTCCACATCAATAGGAGTGATGATTTTGAATAAATGAGCATATTGTTTTGTCGCGTAAGCGGCATCTTTGTCCATTGATAAAGGAGGAGCGTCCGGAAAGGGTTTAGCATATACGCTCGACTCGATCGCTGGCGATGATCCCATCGTATTGACTCCATCCCAGATATAACCACGTAAGAACTTTTGAGTTATATCTATTCCCGTAAAATCAATGTCATCAAAGTCTACATCGCTACCCGATGCCCCCTCCGTGGATATGTCAGATGTCAGTTAGGAGTCCAAAAATGGTTACATAAATTATAAAAAACATCCAATTGTAATAACAATAGAGAGAACGTGGTAATAATAAAGGAAATACCTACCCCTCCGTGGATATGTTATGGTCAGTTTCCTCAGGTGTGATCTTTTCCTTGGTGTTCCAGTCTGGCTTTGCATCCTCTGACGTTACATCGATGCATGCGGGGACAGCTATTGCCCAGCTTGCAGTGTCCAAGATTGTGGGCGAAGCAAAAGGTTTCCGGATCCTTAAAGCCTCGCGTATCCTCGACGGGGTGAATACCTTTGTGTTTGTACAGATGATTATAATATAAAGGTGAATCTTTTCTATCTTCTTGATGAGACTGTTGCTGAGGAAATTGCCTTTGACGAGGAGGAGACTGAGCAGGTCGCCGACCACTAGTAGAAGCCACAGGAGGATGAACTTGAGGATGAATGTCAAAGGCTTTCGACATGAATCTTGTCTTGATATTCGACAAAGATTCGTGGTTCCAGTCGGCAAAAGAAATACTCGGTTCAATAGCGAATTCTTCTCGAAGAGCCGCGTCAAAATCTGCCACACACGTCCAATCAGCTTTTGAGCTGCCCGACATGAGTTGGCTTTTGATGAAGTTTGAGTATTTGACGAAATCTTGATAGCAGCTCGGGAAGGCTTCTTGGTACGTTTGTTGTAGGATGTCGAAGTAGAAAAACCACTCTTGTAAGTCATTAATTCTAGCAAATTGTTGTTTGTTTTGGAGAGAGATTTCTTTGTCGGCATTACCGGCCACGGTGAGAGCGGCAGCTTGGCCTTTCTTTGAAGCAATAAATTCTCCTTTAATCCTACGAAGGTCAATATATTCGCCCAACAGAAGCTCTTTCGTGAGGTTCTTTGAGAAGTTTTTCGGCTTGACGAAATCGTTGAAACCGGTAACTGCTTTGGCGATATTTGGGGCGTATCCTCTGGTGGCGTGAGAAAATCTCTTAGCGCTTGGAGTATAGGAATCCTCGTTTCGAGGTCCGGAAGCTTTCCTTTCGATCCAATCCCATTCTTTTTCCATTTTCGATTTCTTTTTATCTGAATCGGAAGAATCTTCTCCATCTGCATCACTTTGAGATGATTTATGTTTCCCTTTTTTACTATGCTTTTTCGAAACAAAAGGAGAATTGGACTTAGATCTTTGTTTGTCGAATTGGTTTTGTGCGTCCAAAATGTTCCTTGCCGCTTGAGCATCATTAATCTCTTGTTGCGTAAGGATATGAATCTGTTTCTCTTTGACTTGATCAGATCGAATACTATTCTGTCTACTATTAATGACGATATCATCTGGATACTTGGGATTGGATGACGGGTCAAAGATGAATACAGGATCCTCGTCGGAAGAAACAGGTTTGGTAGGCGCTTCGCCTTCATTTTTAAAGATGGGGCGATCTGCTTCTTTATCCAACTTGACCAAGTTTGAAGCAAAACTGGACCATTGACGGTACCAGTTGCGGGCCTCATAGGCGATAATTTTTGAGAAGGAAGAACGGATATCCCGCATGGTGAAGTTGTTGGAACCACCCCCAGCGACATACTCATTGGTGAGCTTGGCCAACTTTTCGGTAACCAGCGCTGCAGCTTCGAAATCAAACCCATCATCGCTCATTTAAAATAGAAAGAAAAACTATTTTTGAGAGAAAAAACCGTTAACGGAACGGTAACGATGAACGTAAGGTAATGAATAAAGGATAACGATGATGTCTGAGATGATTTGAAGGAAAAAAACCAGGAACTGGGAGAAAAAACCGATAAACGGTAAACGGTTTTTTAGAGTAATTAAAAAACCTTTTTGACCCAAAACGGGAATAAATTTGTAAGAAAAAAGAAACGAGATTTATATTTTGTTTCTTATAGTCTTCTTTTGATGAAAGCACGCGAAAGAATACGCGTAGAATAGCTCTTGAGGCGATAAGAATCGACGAGAGTGAACGCAATGGGATAGAATCGACAAACGGTAAAGAGCCTATGACATCATCATCGATGAGTGGTAAAATAGGCGATAAAGAACCCGACCCGTCAGTGACATGTCGTATGTAAAAAGTTCCGATTCTCTCTCATTCCATTCCGTTAATAACGCGTTACCAACATTAAATCCTTTTTTCCGTGGATCCTCTTGAGGTCTGTTGAATCATTGAGAAGTGGGTACCTTCGACTTTTATTGACGTAGGATATCCGTACATCTGAAAGATGAAACAAAAGTTAGCTGCCGGTAATACTTCAATTCAAAACCGCTATCGTACCTTGCTGGGTCTCTTGGGCCGAACAATCTGTGGGCGTTCCTAAAAAGAAAATCATTAACTCAGCAAGTGCGATCGAAAAAGATACAATTGACATTACCTTATCAGACATGGGTATTCGAGCTAGCTTTTGGACACAGGATAATAGTTTTAATTTTTCGATCAGTATCCGTAGAAAGCAGTATAGCAGTATATACAGTGGAGTAGAAGACACCAGCTCTTTGACTCTTTAAGAAGAAAAACTGAGGATAAAAAGTCAAAATCGATGACCGAAGTCAAGCTCAATTAATAAGGTGATAGAAATTATTTTACTTATCAAGGGACTGACTTCTGTAGATCTTTTTGAAGACAGAAAAGAAAGCCAAAGTGACTGTTGACTTTATGTTGAAAAGCTTCAGTCCCAGTCTCCAGAGATCGTCAAGAGCGCAGGTATGCTGAATGCTAGTCCGATGATCATGTTCAAAGGTTTTGTATGCGTGAATCTTCAACATTCGCCTCCGTGATGACGTCAGCTGTGTGGTTCGAAAGAACTTTACCGATGGAGCTTCCTTAGCGGTTCCTTGTGACAGGATTGAAGGTCACCCGCCTCTTCCGGCATCGGGTCGCCTCAGTGTGAATACGTACGATCGAGGCGTGTTGATTTGTAAATCAGGCCGCGTGATTGAATCCGGCATGGTTTGAGGCTGTTTGAGGTCCATCCGCTCAGAAAGAAAAATGGCCATACGCACGGAAGGAAAACTCATCCATCTGGCATCGACTGTCGATCAGTCAGGAACGATGTGCTGATCCGAGATAACCACACGTGCTCTCATCGAATTCATATCCAATCAAGCGAGCTCCACATAAGCTTGAATATTTTTCTAATGGTGAGCGTCATCATTTCTAAGGCTAAAGATTTAGAAAATCTGGCCTGCTATCACCAAGGAGATGTGCAGGAACTCACTACTCGAGGACTCTTTGAGCGATTGGCATCAACTTTGGCATTACGTCCTGAGCACAATACCTTTCAGGTCAAAGGTGCCACATTCCAATGCCTTTGGGCAAAGGGTCAGCTTCAAAAGTGTTTGCTGAAATTCGCTGTGATATGCAAAGAAGAAAATCAGCTTTGTAGGCAAAGTTGCACCAAACATGAGGGTCCAGAACCCGTGGTCAAGGAGTTTCGAGAACAAAAGATAGCCTGTAATTTAGAATTGACAACGTGAGGGAAGGGATGCAATAATTCGCCTCAGCTCATGAAGTTCTGAAACGAGCACTTTGAGAGTTCACGCAAACAAAGGACTAGGAGACTACATCAGTCGGGTAGCGGCGGCATATCTCTCTGTCTTTTCCTCCGTCGTTCGAAAAGTTTGTCCATATCATTATCAACAAAAACTCTCAAGCCCAGAAGCTTGCTTCAGTTTGTTGCTCAATTTTTACTACCCCGCCTCGGCCTAAAAGGCGGGGCGCGCACGTTGTCGCATTTGTTTTTCAGAATTGACATTAGTTTTCTCTTGTTGACTAGAGCATCGGGGGCGGCCCGCCGCCCTCTCGGTCGCGCAACGCATCGCAACTCCGCTACGCACCGCCCACTCTTGATTCACACTGCTCGCATAATCTTTCGCAACTCTCGGCGCCATTAAATTCCATTGCAAATGTGTCATCTTCATCACTCGCAAGGCACCATGTCATTCGCATCCCTTCCCAAGCGAGCAATGCAGACGTTCTCTTCACTTTGCGATTCCTTCGTCTCCCCGGTCCGCTACCCAGTTGACATGCGGTAGACCTCGAGATTGCAATTCTACATTTCCAACATGCAGTCTGTCTTCTATCATCGTTGTGATATGATTTTCTACGCGCGGGCTATTATCGCTCGATATTCTATGTCCAACTTTCTCCTTAGCTACATCTTTTTCGCCCGAGTTACCTTTCCATTGGACGTCCATTGCAGTGACAAATCATCAGTCCTCGACTTTTATGTTAAGAAACTGTGCTTACTGATCCACTCACTTCTGTTTTGTAAACCCTGGTCGGTTTTTGACTGATCACCGTCTTCCATTATCATAAGACTGTAAGCTAGACGCCGTCTCAACAGAAAATCAGTCGATGTGTTTCACAATGTACCATACACAATGAAGTCAATGCTTACATGATGCTTAGTGAAAACGATAGTTTGATATATATTATCGATGGTAGATGAAGTGCAATGCTTGGATGGGCAAAAGTACTCTGTGCCTTATAGCACGTGCCCCAGTTTTCCCGCGATGATGTCATTTACTGTCCCGCCGCGAGAAGCGACGGCGCATTCTTAGGTCCCGATTCTGAATTTCACTGCCATGTGTTGATTTCGCATCATTACATTACTACTAACTACAACGCTACAATCAACTCTGTCATATCATGCAACCGCCTGCGCTACACTTCCACTCAATCACGGCGTCGTATGGCTATGCTTTCGACCTGAAATCAAGTCAGTACGAATTGACTAACTCTTGGGCTCGCTGCGACTCACCATAATAATCCAACCGCCCTGCCAATCAGACCAACTTACGCCGTGACCGCCTACATCTATAACATTTCCAACAGACAGAATCCCCGCCTTGTCGCTGCCAAATTTCGAGATATCGTAAATGTACTCGGCACGGAAGTCTACCCAAGTCAATGTCTACGAATCCATGATCAGTTACTTTTCATTGATGTGCACAGTGCTCACATACCGTAATATTCCATTGCCGATGTTTTATACACATTACGTAGAAATTCTCTGTCCCTGGTTCAACGCTGGCTCTGAGATTCGACAGAACAACGCCTCGATTTTCAAACTCTACCATGTCGACATCCAACGGCATTAATGAACTCGCGGGCCGTTTCGGGAGAAGCAGTTTCCGGTCTACGAAGAACAGTTGTCGGGCGGTGAAGTTGTCCATTACAATCGCACCTTCCATTTCGTAAAAGCGACCCAATAGTAAGTCCCCTTCACCACTCTCGTCGACGATTACAAAAGGAATGCACGTGATTAATCCTCCTTCGACAACTTTTTCAGAACGGTATGCTACCCGAGCATTGTCACCCCTACGCAGTGCAGTAATCTGTCTGGAAATCAGTGAGATGTTTGTTTTATGGTGCTCGCGCGCCACTCACCTCTTCATTTAACTGGAAGACACCTTTACATCGCATAGTCAATGGTTCGCAACTGTGAATTCCCGTTGTGTGCTTCATGATTTGTTTGGATAGAGTTTTGTGTATGAAGAGTAAAGTGGCTCTCTCATTCTCGCAAAGTATGCAGTCACCTATGTTATATTCTCTTGCAATTTAATTCCGTGGCTATGGTTTCGTCTGCAATGGTCATAGATGGTTTCAGCCATTTCAACGTCTCGTCACGCTTTCCATTTGACACGACGATGCAGCCAAAGGTGGGCTACTGTCACAGTTGTAATGGGAGGCATCGACCTTTCCGGTCACTGTAGACATCATTCAACTTCCCCAATTTGGCAGAGGAAAATGATTAATAGTACAGTTTTTCATAAAAGAATCTAATACTGCACACCTGGGCCATTTCACCCACACTACATATGTGCAGCAAGCTAAGTCAATAGTTGTCTATCATGTACATACAGGTCTGCTCAGTTTTTTGCCCATCAGAATAAATAAATCACATGTTATACCACATGTAACTTTTTCGACTTTGAATTTTTTTTCCCAAAAATTCACTACATATAATTCTGTAGCTGCTCAGGCAATATTGTTGAAGCTATGTCTTAGTAACAGAAAGTGTGTTACATGCAGTTGAGTTGATGAGATCACACCAAAACATTGAGTCAGTGTATGTAGTCAATCTTTTGGAAGCTTTTTTCAATCTGAAAGAAGTTACAGCATGTATTACATATGAATAACTTGTCCTGATGAGCAGATAACTGAGCAGAACTGTATGTACATGATAACCACATATTCACTGAGCCTGCTACACATATGTAGTGTGGGTGTTATGGCTCAGGTGTGGAGTGATAGACCATTTTATGACAAATCATACTCCCAATCATTTTTCCCTGCCCACTTGGGGAACCCGAATAATGTCTGCAGTGGGTCAAAAAGGACATGTTGCGAGCCACACGCCATTCACATTTACCATCTCGGATGGCTGTGAGTACGGTATTGTCAGGCCGTAGCATCACTTATTATTACAGAGCCACCACTCTCCGAGTCATGAGCACGTCAGATGGTCATCAGCTCGGACGCTCCAACCAGTGCGCGACAACGATCATTGGTTACATTGCATTTACAACCGTACATCATGAAAAACTATGTTCTTAGTGCTTGCGCTTTTCACATCTTTGGACATGCATACCAATACTTTGTCAGCTCTTGTGCACCTCGACAGCGCGACGTAAAGTTGACCATGTGAAAAAACCGGACTCGGCAGGAACACCACGACGTTATCTACGCTTTGTCCCTGCGACTTATTTACTGTCATGCAAAAGGCCGGAGCGATAGGATATTGGAATCTGTAAAACGGTAAAGGACAGGCCGCACCCCCTGTATGGTGCAAGTTGATTCTCGGCATTGTCACCAATTTACCGACGCGACTCCCGGTGATAATGCGGCACGATAGTATTTTACGGCCAACGTGAGTTATAACCATTCGAGTCCCGTTACAGAGTCCTCGTTTCATGTTCAGATTTCGCAACAGGATCACAGGCATTCCCGCTTTCAACCGTAGTGCGTGAACTGGGAAATTCGGAATCGTGAACATGTTGAGAATTTCCGGAGTTAGTGGTTCACATGTTGTTGTGTCGTCATTTGAATCAATCGACTCAGAGAGGTACTCATCCCCTTGCAAACTATCTATTACCTCGTCATTGATCGCGGTGACATATTTATTTAGTGGAGTAACAATGCAACGATTTGCGTAGTAGGTCGCTAAGTCAGTCCATTCTCCAGCTTGTATAAGCTGGTTCGCGTTATTATACAAATCCAACGCCATCTTGCTGTCAAAAGTTTTTGCCGAGGATATTGTTTTATGAGTGACATGTTCCAAATCGATATCTTCTTCCACGTTCTCTTGCAAATCCCCTGAACCAACTTTTAGCAGCCACTCCGCATATAAAGCATTCTTAATCGCCACTTGCTGCTCCACCCCAACGTTCACTAATCGCACATTGATCGTTAATTTGTGACGCCGAAGGCTTCGCCATAAGTAAGATCGTCTCAGCGACGCCTCGGCTTGAGCTGCAATCGAAGCTCTTGGTATTACCGGCAGCGTCTGCCTGAAGTCCCCCGCAAAGAGTATCATGACGCCGCCAAATGGAGCATCAATTTGCCGTAATTCGCGAAGCGACCGATCCACACAGTGGATATCTTCTTTGTTTTGCATGGAAATCTCGTCCCATACTATCAGGGATAGCGATCTTATCTTATCACTCAGGTTGTCTCGTCCCGAAAGATTGCATTCCGACGCCTCGTCTGCATTGATTGGTATTTTGAATCCGGAATGAGCTGTGGTGCCTTTCAAAAGTATCAACGCTGCTATTCCTGAAGATGCTACGGCTATCACGTTGTGGTCTAGGGCGTTGCAGTAATGCAAAATTGCATTCAGGAGGAATGTTTTGCCTGTTCCTCCCGGACCATCGAGAAAGTGAAGTCCTCCACGTGCCGCGACAATTCCTTCTTTGATGGCTCGAAAAATTGTCAGTTGGTCCTCGTTCATCAATTCCAAGGATCCTTCTAAGATAACTATACTTTCTTCTGCTGTCACTTCGTCTTTGTCGTCTAATGTAATGAGGGCTGAATAATCTCGCAAGATGTTTACATCTGGTTGGGGTAACCCGGCACTAAGAAGTGTCATGTTTACTTCTTCTAGCGCAGTTGCCATTCGACAGAGTCCTAAGGCGGAAATCATTTCTTCCGTTGGTATCTGTTCAGGGTTGTATCGCAACATCATATACTTGCAGTCAGATAGACTTCAAATCGGTGCCAGATAGCTTGCGGATCGGACGGCGGCCCGTATTTCAATATGATCGCAAACATCGCTCTCAATTGATATGCACTGTGAACTCGTGCGCATTCGTCCATAGCGGCAATATAGTGATCATCATTAAGCAACAGACCACGGGCGACAGCGGCGGCATTGAATGTTGGGTGTACCGTATCCTCGAACGTCCTGAGATCCTCGAATGACGTCGGGCCTTTAACATGCATGAGCAACAGGCGCAAAAAATAGCGCTCTCCCTGAGTCAAACTCGCAAAGAAAACGCGCGGAATGGTCTGCGACCGTTGCACTCGGGTTTTCCATCGTTTTTGATCTTTGTTCCATGAGAAGTGGTACACTACTTCAGGGTAAGTCAGGGATGTAACGCTTTCTTTGCCATCATTATACTTCGTATCTTTTTTGCACAGAGAGAAAAATTCAGTCAATGTCGTTCTCGCAGCTTTCCCTGACTCGAGTTGATTCTTCAGTGACCATCTATTTTTAAAGTATACAGTATTTTCACGTGGCATATGTACCGACAATTTCTGGACTGCTGGAAATCTCGAAGACATCCAGAATTCATACAAACGCCAGCAAGCTGGAAGACGATTTGGTCAGCATTCATTTTGAAATGGCGCTCTCATCTCGACTCACCCTCAGTCGCCGTCAACGTCCTCCCATCAACATAAGTATCTATCTCGTTTTCGGCTGTGATTGACAGTGCCGCACAATCATGGCCTTTCGTTATGTATTTATACAAATACTTTAATGCCTGCATGCTCGAGGCCACTTCCACATTAATGTGGCAGTTATATTTCAACAGAAGATAAGGATTGAACGGTACAACATCCTTGTTCGTATAAGTATAGCCGCCTTTCGTGAAGAAACGACCATTATCTCTGCGGTGGTATGTGGGGTATGAATCGTCCGTCATCGTTGTTTCTTCGGCGTAGTCTTTTGGAAAATCAAATCGGCACTTATTGTTACGCCAACAACTGCTTCCTTCTTTGCATGGTCCATGCAACATTGAAGTTGTTACGATTGACCACAGATCAGGTTCAGTTGCATGATCGGGAATTTCGGCGCGAACAACCAAATCTACGGCGTCGGGGGTCCGGGGACACGTCGATGGTTTCATAATTGGAATAAAATGGACGTGGGGGCGTCCCCGGTTCTGAAACTCAATAGTCCTGACATGCAATACACAGTCTCCAAGTCGTCCATGTTTTGTAACATCCTTCATCATCGCCTTCATTTTCATTTGGAAAACTCGAGTCATTATATCGGGGCGATCCATTGCCTTTTGGCCTGGGGATAGGGATGATTGAATTTCGGGCCAGTGGTCGTTTGCTGTCATGGTAATAAAGTATGACGGTTGTCCGAAGTGCCGCACTAATGCCATCGCATCGTGATATAGTTGCTGCATGTGCCTCGCACCTCCAATGTGGCTAACGGGCAGTATAACTCGTCTACCGATTTTGAAATTGTTGCGTCCCAGCGATTCTTCGCGCCAGAGTAGAGCTCCGCATACAGCACGTCTTGATTCAAGCGAAACCAATTGAGCCTTTGATTCTCGACGCAAGCGTAAAGATCAATCGCAAACTCTTGCAAGAGCATTTTCGATGATAAAATTGGCGAAAACTCGTCTCGTCGTTGAAATAAAAGATAAGCAAACCACTGCAGAGACGTAATGTGCGGCCCGTCATCTACATGTAGGTTATCGTCAGCTGTTTCAGCACTCAAAGCTAGTTGTCGTTAAACTTACTATCAGGTGCTGGGACCCTATAATACTCATCGATCCCACTGACCTCAGGGAAACGACACTGGATATTGAAGTGGGAGATACCCGGTGTGCCTCTCAGATATCCTCTCCCATGACTCATCCGTGCTGTGGAGGATCAGGTCTCTGTCTCTTTCGCTAACAGCGCCGCCATCCGCAACGATCATCGCGACCTCGGTAGCAGCAGGTCGACAGTACGTTCATGGCCTTCCGAACCAGTTGCTGTTGGCGCAACAGATTTCAGCATCAGAGAGATTGATTTCGTTTGAGACTCTTCAAGAATTTGTCTTGACATTGTGAATTGTATTGCATACGGATTGAATTCATAGAAGAAGTCTAAAATATCATTGATAACATCCTCTTGAATTTCGTTTGACCTCGACATAGCTTTCCGGTGGGACGCCTCAGCTTCAATCACATCGCCCATGACGTAGATTTGAGCAAACACTGGCTCTGGTCCCGTTTCCGTCAGCGGCAGTCCCATATCGTGATATAAAGCACCTTGGATCTTGTAGCATCGAATTCCGTGGGGACCATCAACTTTGTGTTTGACGTCCGCTCCCAGCGAGGTGAAAGATAAGCAGTTGTTGTATGCGCGTATATTTTCAAGGAAATTTTTGCTGCCTATGAATGATTTTATTCAGCGTTTACGCGTTGTATCATCTGTTCATCCTTATGTCTGAATTGCCTTACGGTGTCGTTCCCTGTATAGAGATCTTGT